TCCAGCTGTATACGCTTCAAAATTTCGAGGTATCGTCAACCAACTCTTGTCCATGCTTTACCACTTTATGAGCGCAAAATATTACGTGAACACTAAGATGCCTACGATCTTTCAATCCCGATCATGTAGGCATAACTATTAGAATTTTCAATTTCAATCTTTCAACCCTCGAACTCTATCACGATTGCAATTTTTTAATTTTCAATGCCTATTATAGTAAATAAAATTAAAATAACAACAAAAAGTTATCAAAATTATGCTCATCTAATCCATTCTAATAAATAACAACCAAAAGTTATCAAAATGACAAAAAAAAAACAAATTAAAATAACAATTAAAGTGCAAAACAAATTAATTTAACATAACATATTCTTATGTTAGTTTAACATAAATGCTTATAAATATTATTCATTTCCATTTTCTCATAATAATTCAAGTGATAAAATTAATTAATTCGACTAAATATTTATTAATTTAACAAAAATAGTAGAAAATTATCTAAGTACTTAAATTAGAATTTTTAAATAAATAAACTTGTGTATTATACAATTTAAAAATTAAAGATTTAATGATAGGAACCTGTATTATGGAAGAATTTCGACGTCGATCAACTCTTTATGTACTCAACCAGCTCAAATAAATTCCCTACAAAAATAAATTGTAAATAAAAATTAAACATAAAAGGAGAAAATACAAATATTAGAATCAAGAAAAACTTACTATTATGAAGAAGGATCAAATGAAGTTGGAAGAACAAATAAGAAAGGCGCAAGAGAGAAAACATGGCTCGGGGGGTTTATAAATACCATCAAGTTGTCGCTTACAACCGACACCAGGTTTCAAAATATTTAAAAAACTAAAATCTATGTCGCTCATAACTGACGCAAACTTTAAAAAATTTAAAAAATTAAGGAAAAGTTTGTGTGTCGTCGAAATAAGGACAAGTTTGTGTCGGTTAAAACCGACATGTCCCTGGCAGCCTCGATAGTTGTATCAGCGGCCTCGAAATAGGACAAGTTTGTGTCAGTTCAAACCGACGTTATGCCCTACACTGATACTTTATGTGGTTTAAAAGCGACACCAGTGTTTAAAAATACTGAAATGTATGTTTACGTCAGTTTATAACCGACACCAGTATTTAAAAAATATTAAAATGTATGTTTACGTCGGTTTAAAAGCGACACTAGTATTTAAAAATATTAAAATGTATATTTATGTCGGTTTTAAAGCGACACCAGTACTTTATGATGCTTATAAGCGACATTAAATCTGACGTCATGTTCAGTTAGTGTCGCAACTGTCTTGTCTGCCACTATATCAGATTAAACTGACACCACCCACTGACACTATAAGACCATTTTGTAGTAGTGCGGGCAGGAAATCTGGTTGGTGGGCGTTCCTGGCTTGAGCACACAGCTCCCCGAGGAGTTGGCACTTTGGTTGATTATCGGGCTCCTGCTTGCCACAACACTGCAAGATGAAAATAAAGTTAGTTCTAAAATGTGCCTTTATAGGGCCTTAGGTGTAGACCTTGAGGCTCGCAATCAAAACAAACTAAATGCTTAGGCATGCCACTGCCATCTCTGCATGGCAGATGTAGAACAAGTATGTTTTAAGCCGATTACTTGCGCCCCAAGTTATTTCTAAATTCTTGTTTATCAAAGGATTGTCGTAGATGGGTTAAGTCTACATTAAGTTCTTTCTATGCCTTGAGATCAAGGACTTTTAGTTATCTTGTATGCTCAATGGGTGAAGGTCCAGATCTGATCAAGTCATCAGTTTAATTCATTCAAATCTTGATAAAACCACTAAGTGAACTAGATCTGAGAACTGATGGGGTTTTGAATCATAAAAAGACTAGAAACAACTTGAATATAAACTAGGGAATACATTATAACTCCAGATCTAATAATTAAAAGACAAAACAAAGAGAGTAGGGCAAGATTTCACCTTGTCGGGCAAGGTAAAACGTTTTGCGGTCTTTTCTCTTTGCAGTTTACAAAGGACTGAGTATTAAAGGGGATGGCTGGAACAGAGTTTATACACTAGAGATTGATACTACAACATTTAAGAAAATGTAGCAGAGCTTTTACATAGACAAAAGATGTCTTTCTAAGGAAATCTAAGGCTAAAATGGTGCAAAGTCTAGACAAAGCACGGCTTTCTGGGCATTTGCTTAGCTGAAAGTCAAGTTGTATGTCTGTTTGTTTGATTGGTTGAGTGTCCTTGTCTCTGGGCCCTCTTCCCCCTTTTATAGATGAGTTGACTTGATTTGTGATGTTCCTGTTCTTGCCCGAAAGTAATTTGAAGGCTAGGGAACCATTGGTATTTACATGCCATGCCATCCATAAAGTGCTTTTGGGCCTAGAGTTAGTGAATTCCCATCGGTTGTCACTTCTTGTGAGCAACTAACCTTTGCATTAATAGGGGGTGCCAACTGGCTTTTAGGACGGATGATCTGGGCTCAAGTGCTAGCTTTGGGCGAAATCTCCTTCTTGAGCTCTTCTTTGGGCTTCTCTTCCTGAAAGCCCAAAGTTTAAATATCAACCCAAACAGTGCCCCCTTCAATAGTTGTTAAGCCTGCAGATCGAGGTGTTAATAAGGATTGAACAGTCACCATTCATTAACCACCGTCGCACGCCTTCGCTCGGGACTTGCGTTAATTAAAACAGCAGTCGCATTTTAGACTCTTGCGCTACCCCATGAACCCTATCTCCAGGTTAATTGTTCACTATAAATTCCCCCTTACCACTTAGTTAAGCATCATAGTACCTTTAAGCTTTCAATACTTTCTGGACTTATCATAATTTTCAGAAAATCTTCCCTGGCCTTCTCAATTCTTGATATCATCTAGAATTTCGAACTCAGCCTTCTTATGGGACTAGTGAGGAGATTTCCACCATGCGCAGCTTGTTTTATAGCCCTCTGGCCTTCAGGCTGGCCTGCACACTGAGTTTTTCTTTTATGAGGGCGAAGTACTTTCCTTAGGACCTGCATGGGTATCCCAGGCTTCAATAGTCGCAAAAAGCAACATACTTAAGGCAAATATTAACCCCTGCATTCTTGGTCACTTCATCATCATAGATGTATGCTTTGGGATCAATATCAAAGTTTTTGGGGGACTATTATCAGCCCGAGCCTTCTTCTCCTCAAGTGTCAAAGTATCCATCAGCTTCTCATTGATTCGAATGACGGGTTCAATCATGAGATTGGTAATGGGTCCCAGCCCAAGTCTTTGCTCCTAATTTTTCCATTCCACAGAGAGACTTTAGTGTACCCAAGTACCTTCTTGGGTCTTTCAAGCGTGGATGCAGAGGGGTTTTATTGCTTCAGAGGGGTTGAGTAGAATCTTCAGGATTATGCCGTCATATCATCCTAGGATAATTGTTTCAGAGGAGTTGAGTAAAATCTTCATGTAATTTCATCTTTTGATAAAATAAAAAGGGTAAAAGACAGTTTACTACCCTCATGTTTGGTGGTTTTCAACATTTAATACATCAATTTTTTTTCATCCCAGAGTCATACCTAGTGTAAATTTTAAGACAGTCTTATACATCTTTTAGTCAAACCATTAGTTATCCCGTTAAGTGATGATGTGGCGCCCATGTGGCGCCCATGTGGACAATGACTAGACACCACGTGTCATTAAATTATTAAAATAATTCATAAAAAAAACACCATTTTCCCCCGCCCCCAACCTAGAAGAGGAAGAAGAAAGAAAAAAAAAACGAAATCTGGGCAGAAGAAGAAGAAGAAGAAGGAAAAAGAAGAAGTAGAAAAGAAAAAATATCTTGGCAGAAGAAGTAGAGGCAGGAAGAAGAATGAAGAAGAAGAAGGAAAGAAAAGAAAAAAAAAAGGAATTTGAGCAGATAAAGGCAGAAGAAGAAGAAGAAGAAGAAGAAAATAGAAAGATAAAAAAAACGAAATCTGGGCAGAAGAAGAAGAAGAGAAGAAAAGAAAAAAAAAGAAAAAAAACAAAATCTGGGCTGGGTAGAAGAAGAAGAAGAGAAGAAAAGAAAAAAAAGAAAAAAAAAACGAAATCTGGGCAGAAGAAGAAGAAGAGAAAAAAAGAAAAAGGAACGAAATCTGGCAAAGAAGAAGAAGAAGAAGAGAAGAAAAGAAAAAAAACAAACGAAATCTGGGTAGAAGAAGAAGAAGAGAAAGGAAAGAAAACAAAAAAAAAGGAATATGGGCAGAAGAAGAAGAAAGAGAGAAAAAAACGAAATCTGGCCAGAATGAGAAGAAGAGGAAGGAAGAAGAAGAAAAAAAAAACGAAATCTGGGAAGAAGAAGAAGAAGAAGAAGAAGAAGAAGAAGAAGAAGAAGATGAAGAAAGGGGTGTTGAAACTGCGTTTTTTTTTTTTTCTTCTTCCTCTTCCGAGTTGGGGGCGCAGGGGAAAAGGGTGGTTTTTGTTATTTTTTATTTTTTTTAATTATTTTAATATTTTAAATGACACGTGGTGCTCATTCATTGTCCATAAGGGTGCCACTTCATCACTTAACGGGAGAATTAATGGTTTGACTAACGGATGTATGAGACTGTCCCAAAATTTACACTTTAGGTATGACTCTGGGATGAAAAAAAATTGATATACTAAATGTTGAAAACCACCAAACATGAGGGTAGTAAACTGTCTTTTACCCAAATAAAAATGTCCTATTTTCTTCACTTTAGCTTGTATTCAACTGCGATGAGAATATCAATCATCTTTAGATCTCTCAAATTATTTAAACCTCTTCGACATAACAATCCCTAACATCCCATAAGGTTGGATGATAATTCTTCAGAAATTTAGCATTAATTGGATGTTTATGTAAATTTCCCTTTAAATCGGCCAAATAATAACCCCCTTTATCTAGTGCTTGATGAATAACGAAAAAACCTTCCTAAGTTGGACTCCATTTGCCGAAGCCTCTTACTTGGGCTCCCAAGGGCAAGACCGTCTTCCCCACTAAGCCTCATTCCTTAAAAGTCTTCAATTTTACCCTTTTGTTGTAGGCTTAAGCAACAACTCTCTTTCCTTCTTGAATTTTATTTAGAGCTTCAATTCGGGCTATATCAAGGTCCTCAATTCCTTGACACATAGCCTGAATATACTCTTCACTGTGGAGCTCATATTGATTTTGAATTCTGACCGAACTTACATTGATTTCCATGGGAATAACAGCATCTTGCCCGAAAGTCAGAGAGTAAGGTGTAGTCCCAGTTCCTGCCCTCTTGGAAGTTCTACAAGCCCACAATGTATCTCCCAGCTTCTCGTGCCACTTCTCTGGACTATATGCCACCATTCTTTTGATAATGTTAACCAATATCTTATTGCTGGCTTCTGCTTAACCATTTGACTGGGAGTAGTAAGGGCTAGACCGAATCATCTTTATTTTGAACTTACTCGCGAACTCTTCTACCTCTTTTGAAATAAAAGATAGCACGTGGTCTGTGACAATTATCTCGGGTACTTCAAATATGTGTAAGATCTTGGTTTCAATGAACTTTTTAACAGTAGCTGAGGTTATGGTTTTTACTGCTGATGATTCTACCCACTTGGTGAAGTAATCCATTGCCACAATTATGAAAGTGTGTCCCTTGTTAGAAGCTGGATGAACTTGCCCGATGAAGTCCATTGCCCATCTTCTGAAGGGCCATGGTTTAACTACGGGGTTCAAGGGCACTTAGGGTACATGCTAGAGTGGCCCATGTCTCTGGCATTCTTCACATCCTCAGGCATAAGCTTTACAATCATTCTCCATTTTGAGCCAGAAATAACCATATCTTTTTAGTAACCACCTCATCTTGGTTCTGACTTGGTGTGCCCCACAGATCCCTTCATGCACTTCGGCCATGACTCTCATAGACTCTTTTTGGCCTAAACATTTTAACAACAACCCATCTGGAGTCTTTCTTAACAGATTCTTTTCCCACAACACATATCTAGTGGCTTGTTGTCTGTTCTTCTTACTTGTGGGAAAAGAAGGATCTTCCAAGTATTGAATAATAAGTGACCTCCAATCATCTATTTTGGACTCTTAGGTCATTATATCCAAGTTGAATCCTCTATCAAAGCTAGAAAAGAGATTCCTCTTCTGCACCTCTACTTCTATCTTGAACTCTCTTTCTTGGATCTGCACTCCAGCAACTAAGTGAGCTATTTCATTGGCTATTGTATTTGATTCTCTGGGGATATGGCTGATTGAAATTCCATCCCCCCAATACCTTAATAATTGTGTGGCCGTCAAGTAATAACCAGCCATAGTAATGTGTCTGCATTTGTATTCTCCATTTAGCTGATTGATCACCAATTCTGAATCACCAAAAACTTCAACTTCGGTTGCCCCCAACTCTATTAGAATTTCTAAGCCAATTGTCAGTGCCTCATATTTTGCCCGATTGTTGGTAATCTCTTGGTAATCCAAGAGAAATGAATAGTAATGGTGAGAACCTTTGGGATTGATGATGACAATCCCAGCCCCCACATTTTTCCGAGTACAATATCCATCAAAATATTAGCTTCAATGAGAGATCCAGATGCTAGTTATTCTTTTCACTTCTTGCCGGACCCATTCTTCCTTGTCCAAACAGGCTCTGTATGGCAGGATCCATACATTTGCCATTTCCAAAGTTCCCAAGATGTTAACCATTTCTTCTTGAGACTATTGGTGCTCGGCTAAGAAGTTTGCAATTGCCTGCCCCTTGATTGCCCTTTGAGGCACATATTGGAAGCTGTATTATGAAAGTGCAAGGATCCATTTTCCAATCTTTCCAATTAGCATTGGTTTTGACAGCATATACTTGATTATGTCGGTCTTAGCAATGATGTGGATGTGGCAGGGCAACATGTAATGCCTTAGCTTGCAAGCAGTAAAGTACAAAGCTAAACATAATTTTTCCACCGGAGTATATCTTGTCTCTACCTCAGTCAAGATTCTACTGAGGTAATATATGGCTTGTTGTTTCCCACCTTCATTATTTTGGGCCATCAAGCTTCCAATTAACCTCTCTGAGGCAGAGATATATAGTTTCAATGGCTTTCCTCTCTGAGGTAGCATGAGCACTGGCAGAGAAGCTAAATAAACTTTTATGTTGTCGAAAGTCTTTTGGTGTAGTGGGCCCCATTCAAATTCTTCCTTGTCTTTTAGTCTTAGCAGAAGAGTTAGCGGCTGAATCTTGCCCGCTAAATTAGCAATGTTCGGGCAGGAAATATGGTTGGTGGGCTTTCCTGGCTCGAGTACACAGCTCCTCGAAGAGTTGGCACTTTGGTTGATTGTCAGGCTCCTACTTGCCACAACACTACAAGAGGAGAATAAAGTTAGTTCTGAAATGTGCCTTTATAGGGCCTTAGGTGTAGGCTTTGAGGCTCACAATCAAAACCAACTAAATGCTTAGGCGTGCCATTGCCATCTCTGTATGGCAGATGTAAGACATGTGTGTTTTAAGCCGATTACTTGCGCCCCAAGTTATTTCTGAATTCTTGTTTATCAAATGATTGTCGTAGATGGGTTAAGTCTACATTAAGTTCTTTTCTATGCCTTGAGATCAAGGACTTTTAGTTATCTTGTATGCTCAAGGGGTGAAGATCTAGATCTGATCAAGTCATCAGTTTAATTCATTCCAATCTTGATAAAACCACTAAGTGAATTACATCTGGGAACTGATGGGGCTTTGAATCATAAAAAGACTAGAAACAACTTGAATATAAACTAGGGAATATATTATAGCTCCAATTCTAATAATTAAAAGACAAAACAAAGAGAGTCGGGCAAGATTTCACCTTGTCAGGCAAGGTTAAACGTCTTACGGTCTTTTCTCTTTGTAGTTTACAAAGGACTGAGTATTAAAAGGGATGGCTAGAAAAAAGTTTATACACTAGAGATCGATACTACAACATTTAGGAAAATGTAGCAGAGCTTTTACATAGACAAAAGATGTCTTTCTGAGGAAATCTAAGGCTAAAAAGGTGCAAAGTCTAGACAAAGCACGGCTTTCTAGGCATTAGCTTGGCTGAGAGTCAATTTGTATGTCTATTTGTTTGATTGGTTGAGTGTCCTTGTCTCTGGGCCCTCTTCCCCCTTTTATAGGTGAGTTAACTTGATTTGTGATGTTCCTGTTCTTGCCCAAAAGTAATTAGGAAGGTAGGGAACCATTCGTATTTACATGCCATGCCATCCATAAAGTGTTTTTTAGCCTAGAGTTGGTGAATTCCCATCGGTTGTCACTTTTTGTGAGCAACTAGCCTTTGCATTAATTTGGGGGTACCAACTGGCTTTTGGGATAGATGATCTGGGCTTAAGTGCTGGGCTTCGGCTGGGTTTCGGCTGAAATCTCCTTCTTGAGCTCCTCTTTGGGCTTCTCTTCCTGAAAGCCCAAGGGTTAAATATCAACCCAAACAGTTATATTCTGAATTTATGATTAAAGCATGTAAAAGCACCATTTACCTGTTCTGTTCCCTTTAGAATTTTCACACTTCGATCGACTCAAACCCAGAATGGAAATGATCATATCACTCAACTAATAGCCTTTTCTATGGAGTTGATTAGTATTTATAACTCAGTTAATTGTTGTATTTATAGAGGAATACTAGATCATCACATTCTTATAAGCCCATACAACAGTCTTTTCTCCCATTAATGTGAAATTATCAACACGCTACCTCACGTATGACGAATTTTCAAATTTAAATGTGTAGACAACACAAACTTACCTCTATTTGAATTATAAATAAAATTGTCTTGTGTGAAGGATGTTTCATATTATTTATTTACTTATTATACAGTTTGTTTTCATTATGGTTATGAAAATAACAAAATCAATAAATAAAATAAAATTCAAATGAGAAGAATTCTTAGGCCATCTCCAACCGAAGGCTGGCCAAAGGGCTCGTTTGAGCCCTCTGGCCCTCCACGATTCCCCAAGATATTAATATTTTAATGAACAGTACAGGGCCATATTTGCCTCCGTCTCCAACCGAGGGCCAGAGGGCCAAAGGGCTCTTTTTAGCCCTGTCACAAAAAACCGTCTCCAACCGAGGGCCAAAGGGCTATAGGGCCAAACATAATTTATTATTTAAATTTAAAAACTACAACAACTTAAATTTAAAAACAACAACTTATATTTAAACACTACAAATTAAATTTAAAAACAACATTAACTTAAATTTAAAAATTACAACGACTTAAATTTAATATCCATAATCAATATTATCTTCATCATCCGCCATTGTAGGAGTATAGTCAGAGGTAAACAATTGCCGCCGAGCCATAATTTCTTTTTTTTTCCTATCAAAATAGGCCTTACTCATTGGAGTGTAATTCGAAGTGTTCCTTTCCATATTCTTATCATCCATCTCTTCTTGTATTTGTTTGGCTCGCTCTTCATGTCTACACTTCCTTTCTTCCGCCTCACGGGCATTTTGCTCCGCCAGTAATCGAAATGAGGCCGCCACTTCATGTTGAGCGGCGTAATCAGCATTTGCCTTGCCCTTTTCCCTCAACCTTCGGGCCTTGTTTCGTCCCATAGCCCTAGGTAAAGAAATTTCGGACGGAGTCGGATTTTCTACCCTTGTTTTGTTGAATGGTAGGAGATCCATCTTCATTCATATCTACAGATGGGGATGCAGCTTCCAAAGGATCCACTCTATGTTGAGGTGGATCTTCAAATAACACCCACCCTTTACAAATTTCCCAACAACCGTGAAACTGAAAGGGTTTTGAGCTGCCCTCCATATACAATTCCTCCGCTTGGCGTACCTAGAAAATATAATTAAAAAAATTTTAGGAAATTAATTCACGAAATTAATGTAATATAATTAAACATTTAAAATAAACTGTAAAAACACTAACTTCGTCATAGTAATTGGCGCCGCTTTCATGTCTACTTGCTGCTGCTAATAGTGCTTGATGCCATTTATTCAAACTTGGATGAAGATGTTTCTTCCATCTTGAAGAACAACTTTCGTGGTTTCGGGTATTCGGTGGAATGGTGCCTTCGTAGAACTCTAAGTATTTTTTGGATACACGAGTCCAAACACCTTCACTTGTTTGAGAAATCCCCCTCACACTATCTTCTGAGATCCATCTATAAGCCTTGCAAAGAGCTTCATCTTCTTTTCGGGTCCAAGCCCTACCTTTCATTGCAGATGAGGCCGAAAAAAATGAAGGAAATATTGCAAATGAAATGAAGAAATATTATAGATGAAGGAAATATTGAAAAATTGAAACAAATATTATAGATGAAGGAAATATTGGAAAATATATTGAAGGAAATATTGAAAAATTGAAACAAATATTATAGATGAAGGAAATATTAGAAAATATATTGAAGGAAATATTGAAAGAAATATTGAAGGAAATATTGAGAAATATATTGAAGGAAATATTGAAAAATATTGAAGAATGAAATATTGCAAATGAAGTGAAGAATTGAAAGAACTTCACCATATTTATAGAAGAAAAAAATGTTTAAAATAAATTTTAAAAAAAAAAAAAAAAAAACCAACAGCTAGTTCAACGGCTAGCTGACTCAACTAGCCGTTACATTAAAAAACATTTCAAACTATTAGTGTCGGTTATAACCGACACTAATAGTAGAACTATTAAAAAAAAAGCTCTTTAATGCTGTCGGTTTTAAC